TAATAGTGTATTTAAGCGCAAATAAGCCAAACCATAACTAGAGACATCTAACAAAATGCAAAGATGTTTAATTAAGTAAAAAAGGAAACATCTTAAACTATAATTAAGCGTCCGATAAAAATGCGGCAATAGTGCTTAATTGAAATATTGAGCAAAATACGTAAAGAGACTAGCTAAATACTCGCTTACATAAGGAACAAAACGATCATATGTCGGTCACTTTGCAAGGGGGAAGAACGTGATTTCGTTATTCCGTAGAGTTCTTGAACTTATGGATCCTTACGGTTCGGCGACATCACCGCATAAACATCATCCTTATGATATGGCCATATAGAGTCCTATTGAATTTCTCCTCCACCAGAAGAACAACTAAAGGATACTCATTGTCTCTTAATGCCTTGTAAAACTATTGTTCCTTTGGAGGTGCGGGAGCGTCTTCAAAAGAAGATGGGATCGCTGTTTGTATGGGATCTATAGAATATCAAAATTGCATGGAGCGGTTATTAAATGACAATTTGGATCCTCCAGAAGCTACACACCTTTCGCCTTAAACTCTAAACTTCTTGTGGCTTGGATCATTTCAATCACCGGAACCTAAATATTATCTTACTTGTCGACGTCTTCTGAGAGGAGAATGACTTGTGACTTGTGTATTTATTTTTGTTCCGTCACAACCTGGTTGGCCGTCATGGTCTTTTTTGCTGCTTCCATCCTATTCTCAACAAATAAATACTTGCTAAATGAAGGGTAGCTTGGTAAGTAGGAATGGAAAAATTCTTCTCTGTTCTCCCAACTAAAAATAAGTACAGGCATTTTTGAAATCATGTTGGTAATCAAGTTGCCCATGAGGGTTCGAATTTGAAATGTTGTTAATACGATGTAAATTGTCAGGATCTTAGTTTTACTTTTTTGTTGTGCTCCTCTCTTGCTCGACTCATGTGAAAACAAAACCAAAGAAAAATTGTAAGTACAATGTCTCATCGCTTCTACAAGCCCTTTAAATGATAGAAATATTGTATCATTTCATTCTGCTGAAAATACGAAATTAGGAAATACATCCCACTTACTATTATTAGCAGACTATCCTTTGTGTCATTCATAATTTAGTGATTGTCCTAGCTCGTTCAAAGGGCGGTCACGAGAGGATATGGTCGAGTGCAATGTTTTACATATTGGTCGATAAATCGATGTTATCGATGATTTATCGGGTTTGGGGTCCTTCCGCTATGATAAGTTTAATTCTAAATCGGTTATCATTTTTGGATGTTTATCGTTGATAATACGGTGATAAAGTGAGTTATCGATCGATATTGCCGGCCTAAAAATCGGAATTATCAGCTTTTGGTTTGAGTTCTGATTTTTGGCAACGGTCACCTATTCAATGCACTTTAAATTCGACCTCACCCAAGTTTCTACCATTAGTGATCCTAAACATAATTATTTACATTTTGGTATGTTTATATATTTCATTAAGTATGGTTAGATTATATTTTTAGAATATTATATTATGTATATCATCATCCGGTAATGTCACTCCGATAAATACTATTTATCCCTGATGTATCCCTTTATATCCGCTATCCGATATGAATTTTGACTGTCTGATAAATCCCCGATAACTGGATATTTAAACATTGGTTGAGTGCGACTATTATTTGGTTTTGTCTGAAGTGATGAAAAGAAAATCATTGAACTTGTGGAGTAAAGGCTGGAATGATTCCTCGTGAAGGAGGAGAGTGAGGGAGGTAGTGATACAAATGGGGATATCCCCTCCACTTATAGAGAGAATGATTGATCAAACATTTTTTTTTGAGAAAAAAAAAGAAAAAAATTAGTTGAATCTGCAGTGGGCTTCCTTTAGCCTAGTAGTCAGTCTTAACATAAAATAATAAGACAAATTTTATAATAATAAGACAAATTTTATAATAATAAGACAAATTTTAAATGGGTGCAGACATACATACAGACATATTCGTGCACGCACATATGTAAGTACTGAAATATTTGCCTAGTATTTTATCCTAGTTGAGATAAAATCCAAATTGGTGGAGTTGAATCTAGTTTTTATTTACTAGAAAAGACTAGCCTCTACAGACAAATTTAATCATTTTTTATGTTGTACTAATGCAAAATTACTTAAATTCTTACTAATTAAAAAGTATGAACTTGTAATGTTTTCCAACAAAAGAAAAAGCAGAATATCTTGAACTGTAAGTACACATTTAAAAAAATGCAACAACAATGCTTAATTAAGGAAGAAAAAAAGCAGAATATCATTATATCTAAGCATCCAACAAAATGCAACAACAATGCTTAATTAAGATACTTGAGCAAATACTTAAATAGACTGATTAAAGATATATTAGGAGAGGATATATTAGGAGAGGAAGATGTAGAGGGAGCTACGGTTCTTGGAGATGGAGATGAGATACCAGCTCTACTTATAAAGAGAAAAATAAATTAAACGGTTTTTTTCTTTAGAAAAAATGAAAAATTATCTGTTATGCACATAGATGTATTTTAGCTTAGTAGGCAATCCTAACATGAAAGAATGAAACAAGACATAGATTTCAAATGGATTGAGAGGACAAAGAGAGAGAGAGAGACTTATTTCATCGAGTATATGTTGTACATGGTTCACGATAAAAAAAAGGGATTGTAATCATGAAATAGTTCTAGCACATTAATTGTTTATAAGAGTTCAGACTAAATTGTTTATTAGAAAAATCAATCATGCGTAAAAAAGCACTACACCTAAGCATACTTTGAGCAAGGCCCGATAGAAGATTCAGAACCTTTGTACCAAAAAAAAAAAAATTTTGGGGCGGGGGGGGGGGGGGGGGGGAGGGGCGGCTGCGATATAGCTTGCCCAGCCGATAGGGACTAAGGGACAATATTTCTTCTAAAACCGAGAATTTTGCTTTCGCGATTTTTCTTTAGAGAGTGTTTGTTTGAATGCTACGGGGTGACTGGCAGATTGTAGGTGCATTGAAAACAAGAAAGTTAAAGTGTGAGTGCATTCACATTAGCATGCAAATGAAAGTACAACATTCTTTTTCTGCAAAAATAAATTATTGTTAAAAGTAAAAATGATGCGGAATACCACTTTATTGTTTATTTAAAATCATATGTTAGTTTTATTTGAATTGTATTTGGTAACTATTACAACAAACTCTTTGCTTTTTGACTTTTAGGATGACTTCAATTTATTTATAGAGGAAGTTTAAATATGCATTAAAGCTGATATGAACTTTCTTTTCCATTTCACTTTCACATACAATTCAAATAAAACTAACATATGAAATAGCATGCCATTTTCACACTTTGATTTATCATTACATTGAAACAGACATCACCTAAATTTGATGAAAAGAGTAAGAGCAGAATTTAAATTTTTTTTGTTAATTTACAAATTTTTTTATTTAATAGGATTTTTATTATTTTAATAGGATGACATTCTGCATTCTCTACGTTAAAATGTGAAAACTAATCACTCAACAAATTAACTTGAACTCATTAATTAATTGTCATTAAGTAATAATGTTTAAATAAATAATTGCGCTTTAAATGGGATGACAATTCGTATTCTTGAGTTTAGGGAGTGGGGTTGGATACGTACAAGCGGTATATAGTTATGAGTTTCGTTACTTTCGTACAGATATCATATACACCTCATTGAGAGGATGTAGCACTCTTCCATAATCAAATAATGTTTTCTTCTTTGGTTTCTTCAGTGTTCTTGTCCCATGTTGTAGCCGATGATCCAATATCAGGTGGGTAAATACATATATGTGTTGTGTGTATATGAGATATTTGATATGAACTGCCAATTTATTCAGCAAAAGAGAGTAATAAACTGCTAGGAGATAGAAGTGGTGAGATCAACACTCAATGATAGCTTATTTAGCAAATGAATTGCCATGTCATACCCATCTATGTTATTTTACCAAAATATGGCTATTTTCTTTGTCAGGTGTCAGATAAGCATTTGATTTAAGACCCAGGCATTTCTCACTAGCAATAGTGGACTTTCAAATTAAATTTTTGCTAGCTTCTCACTGGCAACAGGATTTGGTTTCACTTGCCTGATTGACCAAGAAAACTACATCATAGGACAAGTATCCTATATGGTTTTTTTATTTCTTTTATGCCCTATCATGATGCAAGCGGGATTTGGATTCCATGCCGCTTTACACATTTCTAAGAGACTTTACCACTACGTTTTTAGTGGCACTTACACGAGTATAGTTGAATCTGACAGAGAACACTGCATATTATAATACTCTTTTTTCCCCTTAAATATATGATAATACTCATTTGTTCAACGATGATGTATGAAGTATGATGATAGTCCTCCAAGGTTACCCCTCTTCTCATGCGTGGAAATACTGTAGCCATCTCATTTTGCTTCCTTTTTTTTCTGTCATTTACCTATCTTTCATATCCATCTCTATGATTGATTATCCAAATATTTAGTCATATATATATAATTTCAGGTGTACCTTGTGCTTCCATGTTTTCCATTTCATCAGCATAGACATCTATAAAATCCAAGTATCAACCGTTGCAGTCAACTATGATTAAATAAAGAACATGGATTCCAGCTACATCTTTTCATGCATCAGGAGAGGTAGTTGGCTCTTATGTCAGAAATTAATACAATGCAAGTCATGTGTCTTCTTTGTATCTTTAACCTTGTTAAAGAAAAGCACTAAACGACTCTCGCTTACCAGATAATTGAGATTCCCATTTTAGCTTTTTAAGTTCAGAAATTGAAAACAGTTGCCAACGTAATTGCGCTTTTGAGGATTCTATCCAATCTACCATAGTTATCTTAGTACATATTCTTCTTTTAGTGATTGCGAAAAGACCTTCTACGTAATTTTCAAAGAAACACTTCTTGTCATCGAGATTGTTTGGAGTGCTGATGATCATTATTTCAAAGAACATGTTTTTCCTCTTGATAAAACTAACACCAGAAGACATGATCATGTATTCAGGTTGAATCACTGAGCAACCAAGAAGAAGTAGAACTGCGAGCCAAGATACAAGCGCTTGGGCTAGAAGTCACCAAGGTGCCATCCAAACCATCTGAGGATATTGGAGAGGTATGGTGGCTTTCCCTCTTCGGAAAAAAAAAAGGAAAGAGAAAAAAAAACTCATATAAATGTTTCTCAATAGGAAATCATGTTGGGAGGAAGGAGATTGTGACAAGTACGAAGCATAGATTTTAGACTTGGCAGTTTCGCTGCTTCAATATTCTGATTTCAATTGTTTATAAATGATCGCGGGACAAGTTTCATGATCTGCTTTCTCCCTATGTGATTTTCTACATAGCCTCAATCGTGACATTATATCTCATATTATGTTTATTGTGTTGCTTATAATAGTTGGAGATAGCAGCAGAGTTGGATAAATTGTCAGCTAAATTAGATGATGTTGACAAGATGATATCTTCAACCATGGCCGAAGACCCGCAGGTTCGGTCCCTTCTCAGCAGTACCTCTGACGTGTGGATGCCAGTCATCACGGCCTCCGCTGATCAAAGGCGTGGTTTCACAGCAGGAACAAGCAGTGAAGGTGGTCAAAAAGAGGAGTGAGATTTGCGAGCCAATCAGTTTGATTTTTATTTATTTATTTATTTTGAGCTCCCACAATGTTATCACATTGTACGTGTCTTGATTCTTAATGAGATCAAAAGATACTGTTTACACTTTGTATGCTCCAGCAAGTGCAAGTGCTCATTTCCCCCTCTGTTCTCTTGCTCTTTTGTTATTGTATTGTATACTATATAAAAGGAATTACATTTGGTTTGTAACTTTCTAATTTTATGAGCAGAATTGAAGGGGTTATTTATTTTTTTCATCTCGTGGAGCTTATTGTGGTTCTCGCTAAATATCTAACGGGCATAGAATGTATTTTTCCCAAGAAAATCCCTAGAAATTGATCAGTTCCATTCTGATGGGCCCCGATGGGCCTAACAGGAGATTATTGATCAGTTCCTTTCTATAGAAAATATGAAAGAATTTAGAGAAAAACATTATTATTTCTAAACATTATTATTGATCAGTTCCTTCTTTTTTGATTGGACTTTTATGACTGTTCAGAAACCTCAAAAACAGGGCACAAAATTTTCAAATGCACAAGAACTATGTGCAAGTTGCCTTGAATTCTCTTTTTCTTTGACGTTTTTTAAGCTGATAGTGACGCAAGTTAAGTAGACAATCATCCATTTGCTATACAAACAAGAAAGAGAGAGAGAGAGAGAGAGAGAGAGAGATGGAGCAAGGTCAACCACATCTAGTTTACATAAACAGATTTGAATTATTATGGTCTAGATATGTTCTTATGTAGGAGAGTTTTCAACGAACATAATGCAATCATTTTTATCAATCAATAAATTGGTTTTCTAACAAAATCTCTTTGTACATAATACCTCCTTTTGTTTTTAGATACTAGCGTGATTCAAAAAATAAAGATAAATCGCAGATAACTTCATCTATGCTTGAAGTAGTCATTATTATCCGTCAACTATTTTAGTAGTACTTACCCATAGCTGAATCATTTTTAAAAGTTGAGATATACCAGCTTTTAAAAATAACACTTATAAGCTAACTTATTTATTACTTTATTATCAAATTGGTAAAAATAAAAAAGCTAGCTTAAAAGCTAGTTTGACAGAAAAATAAGTCTCCCCAAACAGACTCAATAGTCTCATCTCTTTTATTATCAGAAATACAATAAATGCTAACAAATAAGTTGAGCGATGATGATATTGATAAAGGTGATTATCTATAATTTATTAGAAACTAAATGTTAGGCCAATATCATCTAAATTGGAGTCCTCAAATTCCAACCTTGTTTCATCATCATCCACTTTGCAAACAAATATAGGAAATTACAGCCAGTATAAAGTTCATTAAACATCTAGTTATTGCTTGAACTACATCTAATCAACTTTGACCTGGTCTTTGGTTATTTTCACCCGTTATTTTACACTCGTTGACCGTCGTAGAACTTGTGCAGCTCTGCCCGTCAAATGGTCAACAATTCACCGATGTCGGGGTGAGAATATCGAGAGATTAAATATTGCTACAGGTTTTCCCCGCAAACCGCGTATTTTTCCTACCTTTGCTCTCCCCCTCTCTTCTTCTCCCCTAAATTATAAAAAAAACAAAAAACTAAATTTTATTAAATTAATAAAATTTTAGTTGATTATTGGTTCTCTGGATCAAATTAAGGATCAGATTGCTTGTAAGTAGCTCAAACTTTTGGTTGTTTGTGATTACTTTCCATCTCGATTAGCTTATGCAAATGCCTTCGTCGAGCTCTTAAAATTTCCCGCAATTTTAATATTAATTTTTCCATGATAAGTTTTCAAGTAGCTAGTTTTCTTTTTTCTTTTTGATGAGCTTGTAGGTGTTAAAGCTGCTGGCTTTTGGATTTCAAAATTTCAAGTTAATTTTTATATTTTTCTCAATTTGATTTTGCTGGTTGAGGCGTGGATTCATTATTTTCTTATTCTAATTTTTTCTGCAATGAATAAAGATTCCGAAATTGGACGTCTGATGCTGACAGAATCTTACTTTTGGAAAGTTGTCTCCTGTTTGTTGTTTCCTATATATTTTTGGTTAATTTTTGTCGTGATTTTGGATAATAAACTTTAGGATTTCTGATTCATTTTTAATAGGTTCCAAAAGCTCTCCCTTTGTCAATTCATTTTCTGCAGATTTTAGTTTTTTGTTCATTTTTTCCCCTGCAACTCCTTAATTAAGAATTCTCAGTATACATTCCGAAATAGGCTTTAGTTTCCCTTACCCTGGGCGATTTGAAATCCTAAAACTTGTTATTTGCATGTATATGTGTTCATCTCAAATTTATGATTCAGCATGTGCAGGGGGGCAAAAGAACTAACATTCAATATTTTGTGTCTGCAGCTCATAATCTCCTGAAAAAGGATCATCCTGGATTATTAAAATTCCCACAGCCCTTCTTTGGAAAAGCCCTCTTAATTCGAGGTTTTCTTATCGGCCAATGCACAGCTCCTAAGGTGTTCTTCTTCTTGTTTCATGGGCAATACATGCGGTGGTGCATTTGGCAGCAAATATCTCCGCGGCTACTCTCAGCCCTCTTTCTCTAATAGTCACAATCATTCTTCCTCCTCCCATACATCCTCTCGTTCTACAAGCAGTGCAGCCTCTGAGGTCGCCGATATCGCCCCAAAACCTGTCACTCCCAAAATGAGACGTGGCCTTATGGACCCCCAGTCCTACTCCATTATAGGCCACAAAACCCCCAATGTCCGTGACCTCTACACACTCGGTCGCAAACTTGGCCAAGGGCAATTTGGCACCACATATCTCGCTACCGAGATATCCACTGGCGTTGAGTATGCTTGCAAGTCAATATCTAAGAGGAAACTGATCTCGAAAGAGGATGTGGAGGATGTGAGAAGAGAGATTCAGATAATGCACCATTTATCGGGGCATAAGCATGTGGTTCAGATCAAAGGGGCGTATGAGGATCCGCTTTATGTCCATATTGTGATGGAGTTGTGTGGTGGAGGGGAGTTGTTTGATAGGATTATTCAGAGGGGACATTATAGTGAGAGGAAGGCGGCGGAGTTGACAAGGATTGTTGTTGGGGTCGTGGAGGCTTGTCATTCTCTTGGGGTTATTCACAGGGATCTTAAGCCGGAGAACTTTTTGTTGGTTAATAGGGATGATGATTTGTCACTCAAAGCAATTGATTTTGGGCTTTCGGTGTTCTTTAAGCCAGGTAAGATGCTACTTGAGTCGACTATGGTGAATGTAAAAGTTAATTCATCAAGTTTTTAAGTATTGTGTGTATTTACCCCTTTTGCTATGGAAACTTATTATTCATGCTCGGTAACATTCTAGGTTTATAGATAATTACAAACGTGGATTTGGCTGAAAGAGGTAGACTTTTGCAAGAATCGGAAATCTAATGAATTTTCTTAGAAAGAAGAAATATTGATCAATTATATGGTGTATTCTCAAGACACCTCTGTTTCCAAACCATTGTATTTACTACCTTAACTGTTCAGGAGGGGTTGCAGGAGACAGAGTCATGCAGAAAGCAAGAAATATTACTACTTCAAACAATTTAATGATGGTTCCTCGACAAAAGGATTCACTTGTTTGTCAAGTGTTATATTATCAATTATAATCTATCAAGAACAATCTAAGTCAAAATCTAAGGAAATGCTTAGAGCAATCACCACAATCTCTTCATGTGAGCACCTGATGACCAGCTAGCATGCATGCAGATAGGTTTAGTCTTTTATGGAAAAACAGTTTGATATTTGCTTACTATTTATACATTGGCATTGATACCAAGTTGGGAAATGTTGAAGATGTTATAAGTTCAGTATTTCTTGCTTAGTTATTTGAACATAATTGGCAATCATTTGCTCATTACCTATTTGAAAATTCCATGTTCCATATTTTCTCGCATGTTGACGATATATTTGGTTCTCTTTCAACTTCAGGTCAAATTTTCACAGATGTGGTTGGAAGCCCATATTATGTTGCTCCAGAGGTACTATGCAAACACTATGGTCCAGAGGCTGATGTCTGGACAGCAGGAGTTATATTATACATACTATTAAGTGGTGTACCACCTTTTTGGGCAGGTATGGTTGTGATTTATTTTCTGCTCATTTCAACTCAGTGCAACCAAATAAAGATGCTGAGCTTTGTCTATTTCCAGAAACACAGCAAGGAATTTTTGATGCAGTTCTTAAGGGAGTTATTGATTTTCAATCTGAACCATGGCCTTCCATCTCTGACAGCGCAAAGGACCTCATCAAGAAAATGCTTTGCTCACGTCCTTCTGATCGAATCACAGCCCATGAAGTTCTATGTAAGTTTTTTCCTGACCTGCCAATCAAGAATATCTCCAACTTTAAGACATTAGATGGACATAATATTGTATTTAAGTCAGTAGAGCTGTAGCATTGTCTGATTCACTAAAAACATGATTACTTTTTGTTACTTGTTTGTTTTACCTTAAGAACCATCATATACTTCCACTGTAGCAAGATTTTGTTGATTTTGATTTTTCCTAATATGTTTTACATAGATATAGTAGAACTCTAGCAGTCTAGTGGTAAAATTATGACTGCTTAGTAATATGACGGTTTATTGGCCATTCTGCATAACATGCTTAACTCCATTGTTGACAGACTTGTCTTTTCTTTTGGAAACTAAGATAAGTTGTCTTGTCATGTTATGACAAAAGGAGGAATATTGAACATTTGAAAATGGTAACGCAACTTTGAAGACCACCACTTGTGACATGCATGGTCTTTGTGAAACCAGCGTATACCAAGTGTCTTGGAGCTATCAAAGCTTGGACCTTCTGTTTGTGCATTTCCTTGGCTATCCCTAGACATTGTACTTGTCAATACTATATTCTTGTACTAGAAAATGTTCTTGATCAATCTCTTAGGCTTGTAGCTAGGTTGCTATTTCTTAAATTTAGTCCCTCTAACCGTTAGACCAAAACTCCGCAGTTATGGTGAGGTTGAGGATTATAGTTTTATATTAGTTCTACCATGCCCCCACAGGTTGAACGCCCTTTTTTATGGGCTGAAACCTAGACTCACGTAGCAGTGTCAATTTTTAGAAAATCCGCTTAAAATTCATGGCCGGTGAGATTCGAATCTGGGTTGCTCTAATACCATCTTAAATTTAGTCCCTCTAACCATTACACCAAAAGTCCGAAGTTATGATGAAGGTTGAGGATTATAGTTTTATATTAATTCTAACATTATTGTGATCTTGTCTGAGCACTCTTTGCTGCTTTCTGGATTATGTAGTTGTGGGTTTTATACTGCATGAACACATTAAGTTAAGCTTGTAGTTTTGTACTTCAAACACGTTGAAGATGGCTCATTGTCAGTTCTGCTTGCTTTTATGCTCAGGTCATCCCTGGATATGTGAGAATGGAGTTGCTCCTGATCGTGCACTAGATCCTGCTGTCCTTTCTCGCCTCAAACAATTCTCAGCTATGAATAAGTTGAAGAAGATGGCTTTGCGAGTAAGTTCACTTTATTTTATAAACAACTAAGTAGTATCTGCTTAATATTCTGGGAATATTTTCATCCACTGCGTAAAAGCAAGTTTATATTTAGAAATGAATCCAATGATGTTATATCTTTTTCTATATGTTTAGTAGTGGATTCGTCTACGAATTGAAGTTGGTATTGTAGCTAATTCCAGTAGTGAACTAACAGCACTTTTCCTGTGAGATGGACTAATCTTTTGTCAAATGATGTAGAAAGCTCGAAGTATATATTATACAGTTCATGTCTTCTCCTATCTGTAATATGTCATTTTCCATCGATCTTGTAAGGTGCTTAGAACAACCTTTTCTCAAATCTAAAAGGTAATTTTCCACCGACAGTTTCATGAGACTGGTTGAAAATTATGAAAGAAATGGATGTATCTAAGGCCATAACCTAATGACGTACCAACTTATTGTGTTTTGGATATGAGCTCAAACTCGTTTATTGTTTTAACAATAGATTCAGGTAAAAGCATATCACCATATGCACTCTGCCTCTCTGTGCTGCATCTTATAAAATATAGGTGTGCATGACACTTGCCTATCACGAATTCTTTTTTTTTAGGTACTTCAACTTATCTCTCCAATCAACTCTCCTGCATTTTTATTGGGCAAGAGGGTCAAAGACTAGCATATGTTAACATGTCATTTATTTATACTTTAGTAATAGTTGTATTCAGTAGGGAATCTAGGGATATGCAATTAAGATCATATGGCCTTCACCTTGATATATTTGTAAATGATCTTGTTTTTATGTAATGTGACTACCACCATGGAATTAATATATAAAGTTTGTAATAGTTGTGGAAAATTCCATCAGGTGATAGCTGAAAGCCTTTCAGAAGAGGAGATTGCTGGATTAAAGGAAATGTTCCGAGCAATGGACACAGACAACAGTGGTGCAATTACGTATGATGAGCTGAAAGCTGGCCTTAAAAAATATGGTTCTACTTTAAAAGAATCAGAGATCCGGGATCTCATGGATGCGGTAATTTTAGCTCTCTTTTTGAGATTTTGCAGTAAGCGGCTAAATACTATTCAAACATAATTTTAATAGGGTATATTAAAAAAGAAGAAGTGATTAGCTCATACTTTTTTATCATGTACTGTGATCCATAACCATCCCTAATGCAAATTTGGTTGATGCAAGTTTGGTGGCAATGCTTCTTTACATGATAACAGTTTGAAGGGCATTGATTTTTATTAATGTTGGAACACAAGGTGCTTTTTTAGATCTTCATAGTGTTTATTTGGGCTCTAGAACGTTTGAGAATGGATAGTCGATCTTTTAGTCTGCAAGTGATTTAATTTTGAATCAGCGGTTAATAAATGCATGGCATTTCATATCTTTTGATTATGGTACATCTGTATACATGTTATTTCCTTGTAAGGTTTTCTTGTTTATGTTGAGTTGTTGTACTTCAAATTGGTATTATTTGTTTGAGATCTTTGATGCTCATATGCATGTAGTAATTTCAGTTGATATGCAAATGACCCCTTAATATGTGCTTAAAATTCACATCCGCCTGTAATAGTGTCAAAAAAATTGTTTATTCTCCCTAGCTAGGAGCTGGGAAGTGCGGTCCATTCTTCAGTGTCTAGATATTCTTTCTTATATCCTTACAATGTAGTTGTTTGCTGAAAAGTAATTCCCACTTGAAAAATATAGGTAAACTATCCTTGGTTGTTATTTCATGAAACTAACAAGTATCCGAAGACGTCTAGATTCCTTGAAAACAAAATGTCGCTTGGAAGCTGCTTGTTATTACATTTATGTTCTGTGGCGGAGCCAAGATTCCAAGTTCAGGGGGCCAATATATATAAACATCAGAATGAAATAAACTTTTAAATAGTAACTACCAGTTAAAATACAAATACATAGTTGCAATGCATCAAAGAAAAATCATAAATAAATCAATTGGTAATGCATCAAACTATCAAAGGAGGAAAAAAATCAATTGCTATTGCCAACAAGGTAACATTAACAATAAGAATCTAACAATTTTACCTCCATTAATTGCAAATAATAATAATTTTCAATAAATAATAGTAATTTACACATCAAAACAAGCAAACATAAAGCACTATTATCAAAAGGAGGGGAAAATAACATATGAGAATAAGTAAGATTTAAAAATTTTCAACAAGCTAATAAATTATCAATTTGGCTCCACTACAAAAACAAGGAACAATAAAAAACTAAGATTTGTTGCTAAGGGCATTTTTGTTTTAACACAATACCACTAAATAAATAATTAGAACAAATAAGTATATTAAACAAGGGATATAATGATTCTTCACCTTAATCGAAAAAGGCTTTCAAAATTCGACAAAAATAGTTCGGACGCGCAAGCCAATGAGGTAAGTGACAATTTTTGTTAGATTTGTTAAATAGAAGTGAAATTTTTTCGGGGGTTGGGGGGGGTGCGGGGACGAATTGAGAGATTTATGAGTAGTTTTGATTGAGGTTTGTGAAAGAGAAATAGAGAGAAAATTTGAGAAGATTTTTTTTTCTCGTGCATGGTAGCTTCAATTTTTTTTGTTTATTAAATTAAATCTAATTTGACTTGGGTGGGTGAGGGTTTAATATCATTTACTTTTTCTTGGCCCCTCCTCTATCAAACCAAACTGCCCTTATAAATTTTCTATTAAAAGATTAA